GAGAGAGAGAGAGAGAGAGAGAGAGAGAGAGAGAGAGAGAGAGAGAGAGAGAGAGAGAGAGAGAGAGAGAGAGAGAGCCCAATCACCCCACCATGATTACGATGAAAACAACGATGAAGATGAAAGACAAGGAGCACGATTTGTGAGGAGACCGTAAAATTACTATGGCCTCAGGAATTGGGACAGGGCGCAGGAACAGGCTATTGCAAGGAATATGAGTGTTAACGATATACAGAAAACGAAGTTGCGAAATCACACAGATGTCCAGGTAGTCGTATCCAAGCAGAGAGTACGAAATGCACCGAGAAACCATCCATATAGAGAAATACAATGAAATGATGAGCCAATGTCCAAGCCCGTAGGCCACACCAACACAGTATCCAAAGTCGCTCCTCTCTGTCTGGCGCCCAGCGCCCAACCTACTCTGCCCGACTATCCTACCTACAGCTGGTTCATGCAACAGGCTCACTTCGACTCTCGAAGACCAATGTACATGACTGTCAACTCCATAGCCGACCTCTCTTCATGCACCAGGTACGTATCTCGTCCCTCTCAATCAGACCTTGATTACCCCACACAGCGCCTCCTTCCCTGAAGACCACCCGATCACCCGCTGTACCCCCTGGCGCCCAGCAGCCCGACTATGGCCGCCTGCGCCCCGCTGCCCTGCAGCGCCCCTCCTCACCTCTACGCGTCCCGTCAGCGCCTTTGGCAGCAGCGCAGCATCAAGCGAGAGCGCAGCAGCACTTCCACATTGCCAGCACTGGCCAGAATGCCTGGCCTGGGCTGCCTCACTCCTTTTGTGGAAGTGGCAGCCTCCTGGATGCTGCGTGTGGCCTGGCTGGAAGCTTCCAGTAGCTTCCGGTTGGGTCCCAGACCCTGCGCCCAGGCCCAAGACTACAGTTGAGGGCCTGGGCCCTTTGCAGTTAGGCACGGCCTTAGTCTCCGGACTTGGGCTGTTTGCTGCATCTGTGCAGGGCTCCCAGGCAGGTGCGTCGGCACTACTGCTTTTGTAAAGGCCAATGGCCTGCTTCCCAATGTATCAGCCCTGCTTTGTGTATGTGTGCCCAGGCGCAACTGTCAAGGCCTGGGCCAACTGTATGACGCAGCAATGTGAGGCTCACGCGTCTACCCAACCAACTGGCGTGCTGCGAGAGCCTGAATACCCACATATGGAAATGTTGAATTTTGCCTTTGACGAATATTCAGGCCCGCCTTCACTTCGGGCGGGCACTTGGCTTGCTGGGGGCCTTAGCCCAGAACAATGTGATGTCTGATA